TGAGCCCAGGCTGAGTGCAAAGTTCTCTTCAGGATCATAGGGCTGGGGGAAAGCAGTCCTGGTGTAGGGTGGGGCTTTTTGTTGTTTTTGTTCAGTCACTAAATCATGTCTGGCTCTTTTTGACCCCATGGACTGCAGCTCGCCAGGCTCCCCTGTCCCCCACTATCTACTGGAGTTTGTACAAATTTATGTCCATTGAGTCAGTGATGCTATCTAACCATCTCACCTTCTGCTACCCCTTCTCCTATTGCCTCCAGTCATTCCCAGGGTCAGGGTCTTTTCCAATGAGTTGCCTCTTTACATCAGGTGGCCAAAGTGTTGGAACTTCAGCTTCAGCAACAATTCCTTCCAAGAATATTCAGGGTGGATTTCCTTTAGGACTGACTGGTTTGATCTCCTTGCAGTACAAGGGTCTCTCAAGAGTCTTTTCCAGCATCACAATTTTTAAAGCATCAATTCTTTAGCACTCAGCCTTCTTTATGATCCAATTCACACATCCATACATAGCTACTAGAAAAATCAGAGACTTCCCAGATGGCTCAGTGGTAAAGAATCTGCTTGCCACTGCAGATGCAGGGGATGCGGGTTTGATCTCTGGGTTGGGAAGATCTCCTGTAGGAGGAAATGGCAATCTACTCCAGTGTTCTTGCTGGGAAAATCCCATGGAGAGAGGAGCTTGGCAGGCTACAGTCAACAGCATCGCAAAGAATCAGATGCAAGTGAACAACTGAACACACATGCACTGGAAAAACCACAGCTTGGACTATATAGACCTTGGTCAGCAAAGTGATGTCTCTGCTTTTCAATACACTATTTAGGTTTCTCATAGCTTTCCTTCTAGGGAGTAAGTGTCTTTCAATTTCATGGCTGCTGTCACCATCCAAGTGATTTTGGACCATCCACCATCCATAGCCCAAGAAAATAAAATCTGCCATGGCCTCCACTTTCTCCTCTTCTATTTGCCATGAAGCAATGGAACGAGATGCCAAGATCTTAGTTTTTAGAATGTTGAGTTTCAAACCAGCTTTTTCACTTTTTTCTTTCAACCTCATCAATGGGATCTTTAGTTCCTCTTCACTTCCTGCCATTAGAATGGTATCATCTGCATATCTGAGGTTGCTGACATTTCTCCCAGCAATCCTGATTCCTGCTTGTGATTCATCCAGCCTGGCATTTCCAGTGACGGTGCTAGGGACACAATAATGACATACCACAAACTGGGGAGCTTAAACAACAATAATTTATTTTCATACATTTCTGGAGGCTGGAAATCCAAGATTCAGGGGTTGGCAGGGCTGGTTTCTTCAGAGACCCCCTCTTTTTGGCTTGCAGATGGCTGGCTTCTCCTTGTGCCTGCATGTGGTCTTTCCTCTCTTTGTGAAAGTGAAGTTGCTCAGTCATGTCTGACTCTTTGAAACCCCATGGATTATAGCCTACCAGGCTCCTCCATCCATGGAATTTTCCAGGCAAGGGTACTGGAGTGGGTTGCCATTTCCTTCTTCCTTTCCTTTGTATGTATCTATTCCCTAATCAGTAATGCTGAAGAAGCTGAAGTTGAATGGTTCTATGAAGACCTACAAACCCTTTTAGAACTAACACCCAAAAAGATGTCCTTTTCATTATAGGGGACTGGGCATGCAAAAGTAGGAAGTCAAGAAACACCTGGAGTAACAGGCAAATTTGGCCTTGGAGTACAGAATGAAGCAGGGCAAAGGCTAATAGAGTTTTGCCAAGAGAACGCACTGGTCATAGCAAACACCCTCTTCCAACAACANTAGGAGACTCTGTCCATTCCTTTTGTGAGACGTAAGACTTTATTACTTACCTTTAGAGTACATAGAATATAATTTTTGCTAAATGGTAATATTATTAGCAAAAGTTAAATAATAGAATGCTTTTAAATGAGAATTATGTAATTTACCAGATGTTAAAAACTTTTAATGATGAACTAGAGTATAAATTACTTCTTAGAAGTGGGTGTATGTATCAATTTATAATTTTTTGACTTAAAATTTAATGTGAAAGCTATTACTATAATGTATAGCTCTCTTATTAACATTTGTATGATCTGTATTTCTCAGTTGGAAATCAAATAGTTGTCAGGGGCTATGCAGTAGACATGTGGAAACAAGTCCAGCGGCACAATCCCATGGAAGAATCAATAATCAGCATTTTCAACAAGGTACCAAGAGCTCTTGCAATGATGTGGTCAGGCACAGGAATTAAAGGAACAGACAGGCATTGTGTGGCAGGGGACAGTGTTCAACTTCACTGATAATAAAATGGTTTTTGTATGGTAGATTTTGTCCAGTTAATTTTTTAATTTTTTTTTCTTTTCTTATTGCCAGTTAATTTTTTAAAGCACCTTTCTACTCCTTCCAAAAGCAGTTGCATAATTGTTAGGAGGTAAATCACCTGTCTGTGGTCATGATACCTGGATCCTTATAGTTCATAGAATTGTGCTTCAGGTGTTTCAGAGCTTATCAATAACTTAGTACTAAAAGCCTTCATCTGATGATTGTAAGGGAGCTCAAAGACAATATAATCTTTTAAAATTACTAGACTTTATCTTTTAGAGCAGTTTTAGATCCATAGAAAAACTGAGCAGAAATTATACAGAGCTCTCATACTGCTCCTCTCTTCCTGCACAGTTTCGCCTGTTATCATCTTTCATTGTTTTTAATGTTTCCTTAATTCTTGTGCCAGACAACCTGAAAGATTTTAATATGATCTCTATAAATAAAATTTATTCCAAGCATCTCTAGATCTACACATTTGGAGTAGTGGTTGAATGTATGGTCTTTAGTATCAAATAGTTGCATTTGTGATCAAATTCTGGTTCTGTTGCCTGCTAGCTCTGGTATCTGAACAAGCCCCTTATGGTTTTTGAGTCTTAAATCCATTGTCTGTAACATAGGAGTAACAATATCTGCCTTGATAGGTTGATGTGAGAATTGAACCAGGTTGTAACACAATATCTATGTTAATAAAGAGTGGGTACTGTTATTTTTATTACAAATAAATCTCCCTCGCTCTCTCTTTTTGTTTTACAGGTAACATTATGGAACTTCAGGAACACAGAAGGAAAAATTTTTAGGAAAACTACAGTAGTGTAGTACAAAAGAAAAATCAGAGGCTTTGAAATGAAAATGTTTGAAACTGGGTGACTTTGGAAAAATAGTTTAAATAGCCTGGTCCTCTATTTTTTTCAACTTAAAAATGGAAATAGTGTTAATTATATTTTCTCTTGATAATTAAACGAGATGATAGATGTCAAGTATCTTCCAAAGTGTTTTTAACATAACTGAGTGAAAGAGGAGAGTGAAAAAGTTGGCTTAAAGCTCAACATTCAGAAAACTAAGATCATAGCATCTGGTCCCATCACTTCATGGGAAATAGATGGGGAAACAGTGGAAATCATGTCAGACTTCATTTTTTGGAGTTCCAAAATCACTGCAGATGGTGAGTGCAGCCATAAAATTAAAAAACACACCTTGGAAGGAAATTTATGACCAACCTAGATAGCATATTAAAAAGCAGAGGTATTACTTTGCCAACAAAGGTCTGTCTAGTCAAGGCTATGGTTTTTCAGTGGTCATGAATGGATGTGAGAGTTAGACTGTGAAGAATGCTGAGTGCCGAAGAACTGACGCTTTTGAACTGTGGTGTTGGAGAAGACTCTTGACAGTCCCTTGGACTGCAAGGAGATCCAACTAGTCCATCTAAAGGAGATTAGTCCTGGGTGTTCATTGGAAGGACTGATGCTGAAGCTGAAATTCCAATACTTTGGCCACCTCATACGAAGAGTTGACTCATTGGAAAGGACCCTGATGCTAGGAGGGATTGGGGGCAGGAGCAGAAGGGGACGACAGAGGACGAGATGGCTGGATGGCATCACCGACTCGACGGACATGAGTTAGAGTAAACTCCGGGAGTTGGTGATGGACAGGGAGGCCTGGCATGCTGTAATACATGGGGTCACAAAGGGACTGAACTGAATGATGCCCTAATCTTGTCTTCTAAGGACACAATTCATGTTGGATTAGGTCTCACCCTAGTTACCTTATTTTAACTTAATCACCTCTCTAAAAACTCTTTAACTATTACAGTCACAAGGGGTTACACTTTAATATATGAATTGGGTTAGGGTTGGGGGCCGTAACAGATCTCTTTCAGATTATCTCAGGACTAGCCATTGTTTTTTTCTCCCACTAGCCAACTGACTCTGTGCTAAGTACTTTAGGGCTCATTTTTTATTTGCTCCAAAACCACCTTATATCACCTATTAACAGATGGGAAAATTCAGATTAACAGAAATTAAGAGATTTGCTGGAGGACACAGAGATGAGCCAATGTGATTCTAGAACCTAAGCTCTTAACCTGACACCTAGCCGTTTTTCCAGACGCCAGGCTTGTGGACACATTTGATTATCAGGACTACAAAACACTTAGTGTCCAGAATCTGTATCTCATACTCCATGAGCGCCTGTAGTTTGGCTATCGTAGGTCCAATTTATCAAGCACTTTTTAAACATCTACTGAATTTTTGTCCAAGAGATAAAAAGAGTTATCTTAGGGGTGAAGTAAGTTGATTATTAAGTTTTGGATAAAATCAGACTTAGAGACTGGGTCTCTGCAGCGGAGTGTCCCATGGGTGGGAAGGGAGGCTGAAGGCTGGTGGGCAAAACTTAGATTGATGTTCAGGCTTTGGGGTCCATATCTCAGGCCCCCAAAATGACAATTACCCCAGAAGTGATCACTTAGAATCACAAAAGGAGCCCCAGGCAAACTGAAAATTATATGTGAGGAAGAAAGAGAATGGAAGGATGAGGGAAAAAAAAAGAAAGGCAGGGAAAAGGAGGACAGGAAGGAGAAAAACGAGGTAGGAAACATTTGACCACCACCTGTTAGGTGGCAGGTATTATGCTAGACACAACTTCCAGTGCTCTATTAATCTTCAAAAAATGCTGAATAAAATAGTATTTATCTTCATTTTACAGATTCAGAAACTGAAACTCAGATATGTCAAAACTTCTGCTGACATTGTCACCACCTGAAATTGGCAGAGCCAAGATATAATTCCAGCTTTCTTTATGTTTTCCTAAAGCCACACTGCCTGTCAACTCTAAATGAAGCAACAGGAAGCAAGTGGGAAGCTCATGTTAGTTGAAATAGTGCCTCTAATGGGGTCTCCTTATCCTCACAAGTCTGGTGCCTAGGAGTGTCAGAGGCTCTGGGTATGAAACCATGACACTGATTTGAGTATCTAGGCTACTACTAGTGAAAAGTGCAATCCACTCTGAACTAAAGTCAGGAAGGTCAGAGAGGCCATCTGCTGATGGGCAGGGCTAGCAGGCAGCTAGCTCTCTGATAACAAAATAAAATGCAGTTCACTGATGAGGTTCACTTATTTTATGCAAATAACTTCACCTAAGTATTTATTCCTCTGTTGAAAGTGGTTTGCCTGAGTAAAATAGATCGGCTCTAACCACCAGGGAAAATAAATCCTGCTGGCCATTCAGACACCAGACTCTGGATTCAGGGCTGGATGAGACAACCTTTGAGTGAAATCAGTGGGCTGTTGGGCACCAGGGAATTTAGATGCTGTTTATCCAGTGAATAGATAACGATTTATAGCTGGGAGGGAGAGGCAGTGAGAGAGGAGAGAAATATGCTGAATTGTATTTGTCTCCACTGACTGCACTTTAAAGTATTAATATTGAAAGATCTCTCAGAAGATTAGGAGTGAATCAATTCAACCACATTTTGGTAAGTCACAGATGATGGACCACATATGATAGTGGCTGCTGCAGGCAAGTATACAATGCCAATTTCCATTTTATCTTGCCCACTGAAGAATTCATCAAAGTAGTGAGTGAGAAGTAATATCATTGCTATGGGGTTTAGAAGTGCATTTTTTTATATACAAGTGACCCCTCCTAATTTTTGTCACATGTAGGATTATAAGGAGGTCATATATTTTCAGGGCTTCACTGACTGATTACATGAGAAGGCAATTCAATAACAGGTTTGAGAGTCAATCCATGCATGGGGCTTTCTAGTAGCAGGTCTCATTCCAAGTATATACTATATTCCAATAATATAGCTCTGCAAAGTAGGTGTTCCTCCCACTTTACAGATGGAAAAGTTGAGACTTGACATGATATAAGTGGAAAAGCTCTGATTTGAATGAGGAAATCTCATTCCTAAACCACTGCCCATCCCGGCCCTCTTGGCAGCATACTGTCCTGGCCTTTAGATATACAGCAGTTGAGCACAGAGCCCCAGTTTCATCTGAACTGATTTTATTGCTGTGTCTGATCTTTACTACTTTCTCCAACAGTCAGGGTATCTTTTCTGCATCCTTCCCCCACATAGATGCTTATAGACGTCCAGTTTCACAGACAGCTTAAATTTTGCTTTTGTTTTTATCTCGCCTGGAAAGATGTTTCCCTAACGCATGTTGTGCAAACTGACGGTTTTCTGCCAAGGCTCAGTACCTTCAAAATCAAACTGGTGTTTTGTCTTGGATTTATGGATTTTCTCATGGGCATTTGCTGCCTACAGAACCTACCTTGGCTCTTCACTATCATGCTAATCCTCCTCAGAGATGGGAGGGTAGGGAAAGAAAAGTGAGAGACTGGAGAAAGGAGGCCATGCAAGGGAGGAGGAAGAGAGAAGGGAAGGATTCTGGATCTGAACGTCTCTCAAGCCTTGTTTCCAGGCTCACCAGCTGCCCAAACCCATCTCTGCATCATATACTGCTTCTTTACAGAAAGAAACTCCTCTTATTCAGGCAGAGGCAACAGATCCCCCAGAAAGATGGCAGTCCTCATAGTTAGACTCATCTAAGGTCAACTTCTGCTCTGTCATTTACTATCCCTGTGAACCTGAGTAGACGTCTTAACCTCTCTGTGTCTCAGAGTCTTCATCTCAAAGGAGGGATGAAATATGACTTTGTAAGGAGTTCATAGAATGCACTCACAGTATATTTTATTTTTCAATGTATTTCACAATATAAAATGTGAAAATGTCCAGTTTATCAGCAGACCCTAATGTAAACTTCTCTTCCATTTTCATCCCCAGGCTAAAACTACTAACATGAAGACAGTTGGAGCATTCTTACTCATGAACCTCAAATACTCTGGACTTAAAAAAGATGATAAACAAGCACTGAGGCTCCTAATGACATTAGTTGCATAAGTCAAATCAGTTGCTAAGAAAGGCCTTATAATGGTAAATACCTGAAATGGTAAACAATATCATCGAATTATTCTGTAGGGCTTCCAAACTGTTACTGAATTCTAATCACATTTGGAAGAAACCAGAAAACATATAGACTTACAAGCTAATTTGCTCATCAGATTTAACCAGTCTGATAAACCTTTAAAATAACTTAAGGAAAAAAAATAAATAAAATAACTCAATGATAAGAGCACTTAAAATTAATTCATAACCTTAAAATCATTTCAAAGAAATATTATATCCTATGTTTTAAAAAGTAGCAAAAAGACTAACTTTTATAAATACGGTTGCACTTGAAAAAGTTAATCTTTCATTGTCACTATATTTAAAGAGCATCTTTCTTATCCTCCCCATTGCCATTTTTCAGTGTCTTTCCTCTGTTCTACTTTTGTCCTATTTCATTAAATTATAGGAAACGCATTTAAAAAAAGAAGACAGGGAATGTCATAGAAAAAAAACTTTTAATATAAGACTGGTAAAGCTACAGCAAATTTTTTACTACACAAATATGATAAGTTTAGAAAATGGTAGTTTCACATCCAGCAAAGATGTCTAGAAGAGATCAATAATGTAATTATTTATTACTCATTCATGTGTTTTAACTCAAAAAAACCTGGCTTGAACCATGTAAGAAAATAAGGTAAAATTTATAATAGCAATCAACTAGAGAGATCTAGCAAGAATGTATGCAAAATGATGATATATGGGAACAAAAAACTTTCAAAGAGGAAATCAATAAATGACCAAAAGAGAAGCCATTTACTTCAAAGCTTAAGATCAAAACAGTGCAGTAATAATTAGATGATATTCTTCTAGAATTTAATTCCTCTATTCTTTGCCTTTAGAAGAACACTGACCCAAACACACATTCTGCTTTTATACTGATAGGATACCTTAGTAATGAACAATAGGGAAATAGAAAATATAAAGCTTTCATCCCAAATATTGCAGTGTTCCTGTTTCTGTTAACCTATGTAGAAATTAAGGCCATTTAGGAAAAAAACAAGATTGAAATATTAAGGTATCTGTGCTCTAAAGTGCCAGATGAAGCAGAGGGGTTCATCTTAGACCTACGACCACAATTTCCTACATTCTTTCAAGCTTAGATATGGGTCTTCAGGCTACTGTTTGTTTCCTTGTTTTTTTCCTCATCCTAATCTGCTTGTCATCACATTTGTCCTCTGGACCTGCTCTACATATTCTTCCTATAACATTGTGGACATGTCCTCTGTACACAACACACACACACGCGCCAACCCCTCCCACATCTACCTGTACCTGTGCCCCTAGGGATATAATTCTTGGCTGTCTCTTACAAAACTCAAGGTAACTCCTTCCCCACAAAGGAGTCTCCATTCCTAATCATTTCAGCCCCTAGTGAAATAGGGATTGATCTCTCTTTTTATGTAAGTGGTAAATAGAAGTAAAATGTGCCTTATTCTGGAATTTTCTCATGAATACATTTCATCTACTTGTAATTGTTTGTAAGCTCTTTGAGCTACAGAGTGTTGACAGGTGTTTCTCTAGAACCCTGACTTCCATGCCTTGTGCAGAGAAAGTAATCAATGGCACTCTGAAGACCAAGGTTCATGCTTTTTCTAGCATGGTTGTTCAGTCACTCAGTCATGTCTGACTCTCTGTGACCCCATGGGCTGCAGCACATCAGGCTACCCTGTCTTTCACCATCTCCAGCAGCTGCTTGTTCAAACTCATGTCCATTGAATCAGTGATGCCATCCAGCCATCTTGTCCTCTGTCATCCCCTTCTCCTCCTGCCTTCAATCTTTCCCAGCATCCGGGTCTTTTCCAATGAGTCGGTTCTTCGCATCAGGTAGCCAAAGTATTGGAGCTTCAGCATAAGCATCTATCAGTAAGTTTAAAAACTCTTCCAACAGGAAGAAATAGGAAGTTCACTTAAGATTATTTGCCTGGGTCAGTCCACTGAGACTATGTCAAGTATGCAACCATAAAAGATGCAACTCTGATGGACAATCAAAGGTCCGTGAGAGAGTTAGTTCCTTCATGTCTTGGAGGTGGTACCCTGAATTCAGTATGCTGGGTCCCACTGCTTGCTAACTAGTGCAGGGCAAGTTTCTTTGCCTTCCTGTGCCTTGGTTTCCCCATTTGTAAAATGAACACTGTAATAGTTATAACAGCCAACAATTATAGAGTGTTCCTGAAGTCTTTTGCAAATAATGATTCACTTAATTATCACAGCAACACTATGAAATAGGTTCTTCTGTTATTATTTACACTTTCCAGATTAGGAACCTAAGGTACAGGGAGGATACATTTCCTGCCCGCAGTCACAGACACAGAATGTGCCTGAGCCAGAATGTTAATCTAGGCAGGAAATATACTTGCAGAGTCCATGCTCTTAACCACTGTGCTGAGCTACCTCACTTCTATCATAAAAACTAATATATGCTATCAGTATGAATTTAATATGAACAAATAATATGTGAAAGTTATTGGGGACTATAAAGGGAAGACAAGGCCTTCCCAGGTAGCCCCATGGTAGAAAATCTGGCTGCCAATGCAGGAGACACAAGAGACGCAGGTTCGATACCCGGGTGAAGAAGATCCCCTGGAGTAGGAAATGGCAATCCACTCTAGTATTCCTTCCTGGGAAATCCCACGGACAGAGGAGCCTCGAGGGCTATAGTCTACAGTCCACGAGGTCACAAAGACTCGGACATGATTGAGTGACTGAGTATGCATGCACACAAAGGGAAGATAAAATTCAGCTCAGTTCAGTCGTCCAGTCGTGTCCAAATCTTTGCGACCCCATGGACTGCAGCACACCAGGCCTCCCTGTCCATCACCAACTCCTGGAGTTTACTCAAACTCATGTCCATTGAGTCAGTGATGTCATCTAACCATTTCATCCTCTGTTGTCCCCTTCTCCTCCTGCCTTCAATCTTTCCTTTCTCTTTCCAAATGAGTCAGTTCTTCCAATCAGTTGGCCAAAGTACTGGAGTTTCAGCTTCAACATCAGTCCTTCCAATAAACACCCAGGACTGATTTCCTTTAGGATGGACTGGTTGGATCTCCTTGCAGTCCAAGGAACTCTCAAGAGTCTTCTCCAACACCACAGTTCAAAAGCATCAATTCTTCGGCACTCAGCTTTCTTTATGCTCCAACTCTCACATCCATACGTGACTACTGGAAAAACCATAGCCTTGACTAGACGGACTTTTGTTGACAAGTAATGTCTCTGCTTTTTAATATGCTGTCTAGGTTGGTCATAACTTTTCTTCCAAGGAGCAAGCATCTTTTAATTTCATGGCTGCAGTCACCATCTGCAGTGATTTTGGATCCCCCCAAAAATAAAGTCTGTCACTGTTTCCATTGTTTCCCCATCTATTTGCCATGAAGTGTTGGGACCAGATGCCATGATCTTAGTTTTATGAAGATAAAATTAGGCTTAAAAAAATGTGACTACCTTATACATTCAAATATCTCTATGCAGAATGTATTGTTTTTCTTTGTCACAGCAAGAATTGGGGCTGTTGGAAGAATAAGATAGGATGGTCATGTTAAGTAGTTAACACAGTGCCTGACAACTAGTATGAGTTTATAAGTTTGGAGCCATTATTGTCATTATTATTATGATGATGGTGGTCCTTTGTCTAGGGGCTCAGGAACCATTGATGTCACTGCTGGCTCTTCTCCCTGTTATTGCTGTGCCTCACTCTGCCCAAATCTCCAGTTGGAATCAAGGACAGAATGGATGAGTTAATGTTCATCCCTTAAAGCAAAGAGGACAGGAGCTACGAAGCACCATTCATGGCTTGATGACGTTTACACCAAAAGTTCTAGGATATAAACGCATCCTCCCATACTGCAGCCAAACTGGATTATTTTTCTCCTAATTGATTTGTACTTTCCTTGTGTCAAATCTTTGCTCAGTCTGTGCCCTCCATCACAAACACTTCCTCTCCCTAATCCACTGCTGTCTGCCAATTCTTCTAAGCACCTTGCAACTTTTTGCACATCCACAGTTTTTCTTCCTCCTCCTAAGTGAATCAATCCATTCATCCATTTGTTCATTTCGCGTAACTTCATTGACATCTATTCTACTGGGTGGCAGGCACTTTGAAAGTCAATAGAAGTGATAAAACCCAGGGGAGTCTAAACTTCTGCCATCAAGGAAACAAGAAAATCAGTGATTAAATGCCATGTCTTCATTGCTATGACTGTAAGTTGAATGATATTGCTCCTGCCTTTCTTTGAACTTCATACTCCCTTCTTTGCATTCTTTTTGGGACTCAGCGTATTCTGGACACTGCTGGAATTATTTATATTCCTCTCTTACAATCTGATTAGTACATAAGCTGGCTGAGGCCAAGGAACATGTCTTTTGCTCCATACATCATCAGACCAACCTCAAGTTCAGAATCTTCCTAAATGCCTAAGAAATACTTTCTGCATTGAACCCTTAATCCTCCCATGCTGTAATTATAAAACTCCATTTATTAAAAAAAAAAAAAAAAAACAACTCTTAAGGATTAGCCATTAGGAAAATTCAAAGAAAGATATCTTCATCATCTTCCACATTTCTTTAACAGGCAACACCAAAGCAACACTCAGCCACACTCAGACACAGAGTGAAAAGCAGGGAAATTTAGAGCTTCAGCTGCTCAAAAGCCATTGCTGCAGCAGCATCCAATCCATAAATGACATATGGTTCTTTATTACTGGGCTTCACAACCCTGAGCAGTTGTATCTGCCAAAGAGAGAATATTCACTTCAGAATTTTGGATGTAAATATTCAATCCCTTGTGCTTTGCATGTCATTGCTAATGGTACATAAAGAATGATCCAGGAGAAATATAAATAATCATTTGGCTCTACAGTGAAAATAGCAGTTCTGACTATAACTAGCCAAAAAATGAAATAGCAAACTTCAAACTCAGACCACGAGGTCATTATCTGTATCTACCCCAGAAAGGAATTCTTACTGTCAGAGTACAGAATAATTTTTTTTTT